CACCAGCGTCCAGGTGAAGAGGGCGATCTGCTTGTGCAGCTCACTGGTGTCAATTTGGTCCCGGCCGAGCTGTTCCATCAGGGCATCCAGGGTGTGCTCACCTCGCCCGATAAGGATATGGCGGTAAGGGTAATTGATGGCGGACACGTACTGAGACAGGAAGTAGAACTCCACCTTAAAAAAAAAAAAAACACCAGAGTGGATACATAGTGGTGATACGTAGTGGGGCATAGGGGTCTATTTATAACCAATTCGCATTTCTAAGGGGGCAATGCGCAAAGCTGCCGAAGGAAGCGAGCCGAACTACGTTCAGCTATTCACTCCGGCTCAGTGCGGCTGATTTCGGCCGTACATCGGCTGCCTTCCGTCACCCGAACAGTCTCTGCATATTCCGCTGAGCCAAAGTGCAGAAGGACTTCGACTTAGCCGATCCAACATCTGGATCGGCTGAGTCAAAGCTCCGGCAGCTCACCCACTGCCGTTCGCCCCTATTCTCCTATATTCTCACAGGGGCCGAACGGCAGTGAGTGAATAGCCGAATGCTGCCGAGCGGCGTTCGGCTCGGCTATTCTGCTCGGGACCTCCGTGATACCGAGCGGAATAGAAATAGTAGAAAAAAAAAAAAAAGTTGCAAAAAATAATTAAAAAAATGTTAATAAATAGCAAAAAAAAATAAAAATGAAGATATTTTAAAAAAAGAAAAAAAATTGGGCGGAGCTAGCAGTGACAGCTAGCTCCGCCCAACTGTTTCCTATTGGCCGGCACCTGCTAGAGTCTTCTAGCAGGACCCGGCCAATGAATAACAACTGGGCGGAGCCGGCCGTGACGTCCGCCCAGTTGTTATTGTTTAATGACAGATCAGCCTCCCCAGGTCATTTGGGGAAGCTGATCTGTCATTACAACTGGGCGGAGCCAGCCGTGAGATCACGGCTGGCTCCGCCCAGCTGTCATTTGCTGGGCGAACGGCCGGCCTTCGGCAGGCATTTCTCCCCGCTTCAGCTGTCACTTCGGCTCAGTCGAGCCGAAGCGCATACCTTCGGCTCGGCCGTCTTTGGCTGCTGTACGGTGCTATTGTGAATACCTATTGTGAGTCCAGCAGCCGAATAGAGCCGAAGGATCAGCCGAAGCTACGTCTGGATCCTTCGGCTCTTTAGTGAATAACCCACAATGTTTGTTCTGTGCGAATAGACACAAAAACAAATGTTTTTGTATACTGTATATTTTATGTAATGTAATACTGCTTTATGGCCACTAGATGGAGTGTAGCATAAAAAAATCCTATGCACCTCAGCTCCATCTAGTGGCCTAAAGCAGTATTACATGACATTACATTCTACCTAAAAATAAAATATATATAAAATGTGTTTTGTTTTTGTCTATTCACACAAAATGAATGTTCAGAAACATTCCTAGAGTGGGGGAGGTGGCTGGTGAGGAAACAGGAACTTGGATGAAGTCATTGGTTGGTTGGATTGTACTTTGTGTCCGGTCTTAATGGCGGTTTTCTGTGCTGTCACTATAAACCATTAAAAGGGATTTGGACTCTTTGGTCATGGTGCTCCTCCTGTCTACGCTTTGGGGCGGCGGGTCCAGACCGGGAACTTTTCTGGTCTCATTTGTGCCCGGGTACTCTTCGTGACGCGGACAGATCGATGCATTATGAGGAAGGCCTCAGGAAGAGCGTCACGACTCACCCTCATGATCCGCACGTTGAAGAACTGGATCATCTTCTCATTCTGGAGGTCCGAATGTTTGATTGCCTTCTTCAGCCTGTCCGTTGCTCGCACATAGTCCCCGCGTGCCGAATACAGCCAGGAAAAGGTGAGACCCTGCGGCTGAAATACACACACACACAGCTCTATGGTCACCCATTTCACGACTACTTCCCTTTAAAATAAAAAAAGAGACCCGGCCTGAACCTGAACCCGGGAAGGAAGCTCCTTCCATGCCGCCCAATCAGCTGCAGGCAGCTTGACGTCAGCAAAGGGGGCGGGGTGCAGTGACATCATCGACCTTATATGGCTACACACCTATATACGGCTATGTGGCCGTATAAGGTAAATGACATCAGCACAAGCACCCCGCCCCTGCAGCAGCAGGATGGGGAATGCCCGGCCCACAGCTGATTGGGTGGAACTGCCAATGGAGCAGCTCAGGTTCAGTTCTAACCTGAGCTCATCCCTCACGGTCGCGCGCCCACCCGGGGGGGGGGGTCAAACTGAGCGACCCGTTGCGTGTGCCGCCCTTCCCCCCATTGATCCCCATTGCTGGAAGTGCAGATCGGACATTCCGAGCCTCACCTCTAGTTTGCTCTGGTAAGTCTTCAGACCGATCAGATGTTCCAGCAGCAGCGTGTTGTAGGCCGTGTAGTCCAGAGGAAGTATCCGGTCATGTGACAGCTTCATCAGCGACAGTCCGGCCACCTGGGCCAGCGTCAGAGCCACCGCCGGCAACCGGTTGTCCACGAGGCTATTCAGATTGTCGTACGTGTCATACTTCGTGTCCAGGTACTTGTATGGGTTCGAGCGCTGGAAGGAAAACCCGACACGGGAGCCGTGAGGTAAAGCTCCGTCTATTATTTATTCCACTATACGACGTATCAGCACGGGGGAGGGGTCAGTAATGACAGCAGAGTGGATTGTGAGCTCTTGGGGCCGAGATCTCCGTACTGGGAACTCTCATCGTGGATGGGATATATGGCAACCAGGATGTCCGGACTGTCTGCAGCTTGTGTTATACATTGAGGGTTAAATCTGACCTCCGTCCTCCCCTTCAGTCTTCTATCTGACCTCCGTCTTTCCCTTCAGTCTTTTATCTGACCTCCGTCCTTCCCTTCCTTCTTCTATCTGACCCCCATCCTTCCCTTCAGTTGATTACCTTCACAAAAGAAAACTCCAGAGCAGGAACACCAGCAAAGGCTGTGAATGCGAAGCCGCCCGTGTCCACAGCGAGTGGGGCAAATCTGTGGGTGCAAAGTACAAGAGATAGAAGGGTGAGAGAGACTGCTATTATCACCATGTGCCCAGAGACTGCTATTATCACCCTGTGCACAGAGACTGCTATTATCACCCCGTGCCCAGAGACCGCTATTATCACCCCGTGCCCAGAGACCGCTATTATCACCCCGTGCCCAGAGACTGCTATTATCACCCCGTGCCCAGAGACTGCTATTATCACCCCGTGCCCAGAGACCGCTATTATCACCCCGTGTCCAGAGACTGCTATTATCACCCCATGCCCAGAGACCGCTATTATCACCCCGTGCCCAGAAACAGCTAGTATCACCTCGTGCCCAGAGACCGCTATTATCACCCCGTGCCCCGAGACCGCTATTATCACCCCGTGCCCCGCGCCCGCTACTATACCCCCCTGTC